AAAGAGATCCTGGTGGGTGATGTTACAAATCCCATTTAAGAGGAAAATAAGACAAAGTCAAGGGCCTAATATTTGAACATACTCGCCTTTATGAAGTCTCGCCTAAGGTACCAACAATCTAAGTCTCTCCTGAGAGCCTCACCTTTACAAAGTCTTTCCCAAGGAACTCAACTAATTAAATCTTTCTCAAGAGACTCGCCTTTACAAAGTCTTGCTTAAGGAACGCGAATGTATAACTCTCGCTTGAGGGACTCGAATGTCTATGCTTTACCTAGTGGAATTGACTATCTAAGTCTCTAATGAGGGACTCAATTGTCTAAGTCTCGACTTAGGTAATCGATTGTATAAGTCTCACATATGATACTTGCCTTTACAAAGTCTTTCCTGAGGAACTCAATTATCCTAGTATCACCCATTAATAAATTACTTCTGCATGGATTAAATCAATTCACCATTTACAAAGCATCTTACTTCAGGGGCCGTTAACTGGGATAATTTTAATGGGCCTGATAAGGGAATGTCCCTAATAAAGTGATATTGACTGAGTGCAACAGTATTAAAGGCCACACGAAGGGGGTTTAGTTGCCTGAAGTGGGTCTAGCCTCCCAAAGGGGCCTAGTGTTCCGAATTAGGTTTGGCCGCCTGAAACAAGTCATGTATGCCATCTCGGATATACTATTGTTGACCCGTTATAGCTTATACATGGTTTAAGACACATGGAAGGAAGATAACAATCTTTACCGGATCATTGGGAAGAATATATTTCTCTAAGAAAAGAGGAAACTTCTCACCCGTAATCTAAGTATTACCCCCAAAAAGAGAGATGATTGAGTATTGGACTAAATCTAGCCCATGAAGACTCCATATATCCCTGCCTTATAATTAAAGAGGGATCATTCATTTAATAAAAAAAATATATCATAAGATACACATATAAAGTCTCTCATCATCCACATATAAGCAGAATCTCTTCAACAACTATGGAACTTTAGAAATTGCATATATAAACCTTGTGTATTTAAAATAATTATTTTTCTTAAATATACATTTTTATATTACAACCTACAAATTACAAATTTATTGATAAATTCTGAATCTTCTACACTATCATCATTTAAAACTTTGGTGAAGATCAAATGTAAAGTTTTATCACACACCCATGTGCTTTTCAAGCTCATTGAGTTGCATATATTTGTTTTTGGCATAAAATTAATAAAGGTTAGATAAAGAAAATAATTTATCAATTACTAGATGATATATTAAGTAAAGATCACCAACCTTGAACTTATTTTTTTCTTCTCTTGCAATTCATCCCAGATATTGTTTCCACGCCTCTTTAAGTTTGCATTTCACTGTTTTCAATCCAAATGCTTTCACTATCAATGTTTGTATTTCAAAATATTGCACCCAAGATATATACTTGTGATGTTCACGTTCTAATTGGCTTATGAGTGTTCACACAGACCAATTTTAATACCCCAAATGTGTCCTACCATTTCACTTTTATCTGGCTTATGCATTTTGAACTTCTCATTTCATCTGAATGTCTTCCATTAGGTGACTTAACAACATCTTGCATTCGTTAACCACAAGGCTTGGCATGGGATCAAGGATATTGAGGGATTAGGGTTTATTTATGCTTTTAGGCTCTCAACTTTATCCGAGCTTAAATAGACTGGTTTCTTCAACAATCAGAGTTTGAAGCTAGACTTTTACGTTCATGGTTATTGTGGGTTTCTTTCGTCAAGCTGCAATATTATCTCTCTCAAGTTTCATCAGGGTCAAGTGCGTAAGGTTTATTACTTGTATGTGCTTAGGGTTTCATCAATACTTTAAACCAGGGTTTTGGTTCAGTGATATATCATTGTGCAATGAAAAGAGGTCGTCTTCTAAGATCTTATCCATCACAAGTTAGGATTTTCAATCGAGTTTCCTTTATAAAAGGAGGTTCAATTGTAAATTGAACTTCAAGCCACTTAGTTATGGTTCTCATGCAGGAAGAGATTCAATTGAACTATATCCATCAAAGGCTATGTGGAGACACTCAAGGAATATTGATGCATTCAAAGGTGGATGAAGATTGTGATTTGAGTCAAGGTCAATTAGAAAGAGAAGTTAAGTCCATCTATCCATCATTCAACAATTAGCGTTTGGTGCGTGTTTCCTCAATTAAATGATTGTTTCAAATACAAGTTATTGAGAACATGAGATTAAACATGGATTTAGGGCTTCTTCAAAATGAAAACATGGTACTAAGTCGATATAATTTCTTATGAATGTATGAAGTAAATTCAAGATCGGATCAAAAGATATCAAAGTTGGTTGAAACTTGTAAAGTTGGAAATAAATTATTTAGATATTTTGGAATTTAAATAAACAAAGTTACAAAGTTCCTACTTCAAATTGCAAGTTTCATTCAAATATCATCCATAAATTTCATCATCCAACAGTGTAACCGAAATTCCCTTATAATTAGAACAAGTTGCAATTAAAATCAAGGAAGACAAAATGTCACAAAAAATGAAATTACATTCCCAAATTCAAGTATTTATTGTTAAAAAGATGTTCCTACAAAAATTCCTACAATGTCCTAGGCATATTTCCTTGCTTCATCTTCAAGTCGAGCTTTCCACGATCCAAACAATCTTCATATACCTTGTATGCTTTGCTTTTCCTTCCTCAACCTGTCCAAAATAGTTCCAAACATGATCAAATTGGTTCCAAATGGCTAGCTCAACATACATCCCAAACTTCACATTCTAACAGATTTTCAACATCTGAATTACTAACAACCAGCATTTATTTCTAACAGTTCCTTCTCTTTTACCAAAATTTTGCTAACTCAATGTCCATTCACCTTTGGCATTTTAGCTTACAATAGCGTTGAAACAACCGGCTGAAAATCATCAAATAATGAAGTCGCCATTGGACGTCTTTTATCCCACATGAAGGGAAAGGTAAACATCGAGAAAACCTGAGAAGGGAAAAGTCACAGTCTTGCAACCTAAAGATCGGGTAAGGGAGTCTGTTACGCGAGAGGAAGGTATTAGCACCCCACACGCTCATAGTACTCTATGGTATCCACTCTTGTTGTCTATCTTACGGGTGTGTTTAATTTATGCTTACTGTTTATTACTAAGGAAGAATGCATGAAAAATAAAGGAGAAAAGAATGTAAGGAAAATAAAATTATACTCGCTTGGGCCCTACCCCCAATGCCTACGTATCCTTTTTGAGGAATAAGAGCTACCGTAGTTCGGCTCACATGTTTTGTTTGTTTTGTATTTTTTATGGATGATGTTAATTTCGCCTTCTGCCGCAACCTGGCCTTTGAATACTTATGCGTTGACACAAAAGTAAATTAATCATGTCCTTGCTTGAAAAGGTTTCGAGTTATAACCTAGAGGCAAGATTTCACATTTGATTTTTTTGTGTTTTGTTACCTTGAAAAAGGGTTTAAGTGAGATTAGCATGTTTTTTATTTGCTAAGAAAAGAAGTTTTAGTTTTAAATGCATATGCAATTGGGGAAGAGAAGAGTCTAAGGGAGACTAGCCTATTTCTAACCTAATGTTATCATACAATGGTAGCCCTACATCAAGGATGAAAGGGGAAATTTCTACCTAATGTTAGCATACATGGCTTACAACCTAAGGTCTAACTTGCGTCCGAAGGGAGCCAGCACGTCCTAAGGGAACATGGTATGTACAAGTATAAAGTAAACAAGCTAATAAACTCAAGAGAGAACACCTAGAGAGATCCTATCTAGTTTAGCATGCCAAAGAAAGTCTAACAAAACTATCTTATAGGGAACATGCAATGAGAGCGAATTCGTGATCTCAATTTCTAAATTGAGTGACTCATCGATCAACAAGAAATAAAGGATAGCGGTAAAATCCTATAGGGAGCATGCACTAAGAGCGAATTCGTGATCTAAAATCCTAAATTGAGTGACTCATCGATCAACAACCAAAGAAACAAACACAAGCACAACACATATAGCAAATGAAGTGCGGAATGCCTGCTACAGGTCTTTAAACAGTGACTTCGAGCGCACACTCTTTATTTCCTACTTCTCATGGTATCTAGAAAGCAATAAAGTGCGAAAATGAGGAATAAAATAAGATTGCGATGATACCGAATGGAGAAGGTCCGTTTCCTCTTCAAAGCCACACAAGTGATAAGAAAACTCTACAGAAGCTGCTTCACACAAGCGATCGAAAAATTAATCTCCAAGCATTCCCCATTGTGAAAGTTACATCAATATTCTATCACAAAATCTTAGCTAAAAAATGACAATGAAAATGATTATTAAACACAAAATAATAGAAAACTCTAATAAAATTCTAAAGAGAAAATCTAAAATTCTAAAATATTCTACTATTTTTGTACCGTTTTTATTATCAATTGAAAGAAAAAAATCTAGAATAAAAACTGAAATAAAATAAAAATACAAAGTTAGAAGAGCCAGGAGGTAAAATTGGAATACAGGTGTGTGATACTGCAAGTGACTTAATTAATACTAAGCCCAATCCGCATGAGCCCATTATCCATTTTTCTTCACCAACCCAGAAACTACCAAAAATGCCATTGGGCCATATAATCCGGTCCATCACCAACCCAATTCCAATACTTCATATTTTCCCAAAAGTGCAACCCTAGAACCCTTCTTCTTCACTCCAGTCCAATGCGGATATCAATCTCTCCGCCTCACACTGCCGTAAAACATACGACCTCCACCTTATCTCTTATGCCTCTACCTTATCTATTTCACCTCTGCATTGTTTGTATCAAGTCTACCCTTAAAAGATTACGATCGAACAAGACTCAACGGAAGGAAAATCGGAATTGAAGCAATCTCGTGCAAACTCGTGCCGCGTGTTCGAATTCAAGATTCAATGAGCTGAAACGCAAGAAGCGACAATAAACTTGATGCGAAGGAGTGAAGTTACAAGGCGTACCGACCAGAGTCCATCTGACGTGTCTTCAGCGGTGTTGCGACCATGAGAAGTTTAGAGATAACTCAGGTAAATCATTCACTCCATTCTTCTTCTTCTACATTGTTTGGACTGCGTTTCTGCGGTTTCTGGATCTCTCTTGTTCATGCTCTATTATTGATGTTGAAGTTATCTGTGCGAGATTTTTGTAGAGTTGCTTGATACGGAGAAGCGGGGAAATTGAAGATGATTAGACTATGGTGAAGAGTTAATTCAGGAAGTTGACAACTAGAGCAAGTCGCGGAAGGTTACAGAGAAAGGTTAAGTATGAGGTTAATGGTGAAAGAGGGATTGTAGAGGAAGTTACAGGGAATGAAAATAAGGATCGTGAATGATGATATCTCTTGTAGAGAATGGATGAAGAATGAGGTTTTTTCAGAAGATTATTGAACAAATGAAGATTGAGGGAGAGTAGAGAGGTGAGTTTCTGTAACTGAATTTTTTTGGTAGTTTCCTGTAACTATTTTTTTGTTGAATATTTTCTCTAATTCTTTATCTCAAAATTGAAGAATAATGGTGAATGATGAAGATAGAAGATGAGAGATTAATGGTTTGAAGATTGAGAAATGGAGAGTGAAAGTGAAGATAGAATTCAGAGATGGTTGTGGAGAGAAAAATGGAAGAGAGATGTTGAGAGGTTTCTCTGATTTTCTATAGTTGTAGGGTGAAGATCAAGAGAGAAAGAGTGAGATTGGAAATCTTTTTCTTGGTGAGTCCTCTCTTTTCTGATAGATATTTTTGATGAGAATTTTTGTTGTGTTTTTGTAACTGAACTTTCTCTTTGTGAGCGAATTCTGTTATATATCATATCCATACCTCTCTTTTCTGTTATCTGCTTTTTTCCTTTTTCTATTTTTCTGTTAGGAGGGTTTGTTAGTTGGTTACAGGTTGGAAACAGTTAGAGAAAAACAGTTAGGGGTTTTTTGCTGTTAGTTTAGGAATGCAGTGTAGTTATGGAGTTCGATGCAGTTAGAGGTTGTTAGGAGATGTTATAGTTGGTTATAAGTTAGTTATTAGAAAGCTGGCTCTATTTCGGTTAAGTTTGTTACTGTTGATTTTCTATTTGGACAGTTAGAAAGATTTAGAGGGAGTTAGGAACTGTTCGCTGATGTTAGAGGTGTAAAAATTTTAGTTAGAACTAAATTAGGCTCTTCTGCTATTGTAAGCTAAAATGCCAAAGCTGAATGAACATTGAGTTAGCAAAAATTTTGGTAAAAGGGAAAGAACTGTTAGAAACAAATGCTGGTTGTTAGCAATTGTAATGTGCACTTTTCAACCAGTTTTATTTATTGAATTTGGAATATTATTGTGAACTGATTGTGTAGGCAATGGATATTTTTGATTAATTGTTTGATTTGAACAACTGCAGGGCCAGGTTTTGGCGTGTATGGCTGGTTTTGTGATGCTGATTAGTTTTGGACTGTTTGGTGTCTGTGTTGGGTTAGTAATATTGTTTCTGATTTTCCGTTTAGAGCTGATGCCATCTGTTTTCTACATGTATAGGATTTTGGTTTGTAGTAGCATATTTGAGAATTGTTTGGACTACAGGACAACGGGGCAGCTAATAGAATGAAAGGTTAACTATTTTTTTAATATAGGTTTTGTTGATGTGCAGCAGGGCTGAAATGGTTTAGAGATAGCTCTTGAGCATGAAGGTGAAGAATGAAACATGGGAAGAGATAAGGCATAAAGAGTGATCCTTGGAGTTCTAAGAACAATATTTAGGACAAGGCTTTGTGCAACTTTAGTAGCTTAGGACCTTAGGAATTTTGTGTAGTTGTTTCTTCGGAATGTAATATGAATTTGTCATGGTTGCGAGTGTAAATGAATTTGGCGTTTTTAATGTCTTGTGACGGAATTTAAAATGCATGGAATTTTACGTGGATGAACTTTGTAAGGACCCCGAATGTATTTAAATGTATATGGATGCTTCTTGATTTTTGCAACTTGAGTGAATACTCGTAGTGAACATGAACTTGAATGAAGTTTAATAGCTTTTATAATTAAATGATTAAGTGTTGAACATGATGAATTAGGTGAAGATGATTATGATGAATGAATGCCTTGCACTTGTAGTTCATTACTTAAATCTCAAGAAGTCCAAATGCATTTCCTTTCCAACCTTGCTAATTCCCAACAACTTTGATGAATTGAACTAAGTTTGAATCCATCGAATCATTTAAATCCACATTAACCTTAATCCAAATTAGCTCGCCTGACAAGCAACAAACAATTTGAGAGAATGATACCTTGATTATGATCCACGTCTTGTACCATGTCTTGATTATATGAGCAATAGAATAACAATGCTTTGGATCCTTGAATAATATATTCAAGATGACTTTGAACTTACACCCTAGCTCACGTAGTCTTTACTTAAACCTTTAGTGAAATCCAAATGATCCTGCCCTGGATGAAGATGACAACCTTGTAGCTTAATGATAAAAAAGAAGTTCTCAATGACCATAAACAAAAACTCTAATCCCTCAAACTCTGATTGATGAAAAAACATGTTGATCCGAGCTTGCATGAAAATGAGAGCCTAAAAGCACAAAGAAACCCTAATTACTCAAAATATTTGATCACATGCCATGTTTTATTGATTAATGAATGAATGATGTGTTAGATGACCTAATGGAGGGTATGCAGATGGAATGAGAAGCACAAAATGCATAAACTAGATAAAAGTGAAAAGGTAGGACAAATTTGGGGTATTACAAGCGGAATAGCCCAATTTAGTTCTAACTATTTTATATTTAAACACTTCTAACATCGGCCACCAGTTACTCCTAACTAACCACTAATCCTAACAGCCAACTGACATTGCTACTAACTTAAGTCAGAAAGCCTACTGCTATAAGCCTAAAAAAGAGCTTTGTTATACCTTGCCCGCTACAAGCTTTTCCATATAATTCATCATAACAAACCATGGGCTAACCATGACCCTACATATGATAAATAAAAACATAAGAGAAAATCAGGAAATAACAGCAATAAACATTCTAACAGAAAAAATCAATAACAACTAATTGTCCTAACAACATATGCCAACTCAGTTTAACAGAATCAAAAATTAATTGCTAACATACTTTCAGTTATAATAGAATTTATTCGGATGATAGAAAGAGAGGCAATTACGATTCTATCTGCATAAGAAGTTACAACACAACATGTAACTAACTGTTAATAGAAACTAACAGCTCTAACCCCTAACTATTTCTAACCAACTTCCCAACAGATTATAACAGAAAATGATAACAGAAAAGGGGGCAGGAGGTTCATTCACAACAGAAAATCACAAAAAATATTCACTCTTCTCGCCTCTCATCTTCTCTCTTTCAATCTCTCACCTCCATTCTCTCTTTTCGTCCTTCTTTTTTTCTCACCTTCACTCTCTTCTTGTGAACTACTCATCATTCTCCCTCACCTCTAACCTTTAAGCAGACGTAAATCAACATCATCTTGACCACTTCTCAGCAACCTCTAATCATCTTCCTCACTCACTTACAATCAACAAACTCTCACGCTCAATCCTCACCTTCTGCAAATCTCCATCATCTCCGAATCTCGACCTCAATGACAACATCACAAATCCGTGATTCACAACAACAACACACGCAGGGAAATACAAGAAGCAAAATTGACGAAGAAGAAGAGTAAGAGTGAAAAGTAAATACCTGGATTATTCAGCTGCGTGGATGGGATTTCTGATTCTTCTTCCACCGTTGAACGCCATTGGAGCATCTTCGATCGATAACATTCAAAATCCCTAACTCTCTTCATTCTTGCCATTATTGTAAGAAAAAAAACTATGTGAATTTTCCTTGAAGCTAATCGAGACGAAGATGACTCGAAGCTGAAGGTTGAACGATTGAAGCAGAACGACAAAGAACGAGCGGAAACGGCTTGAAATTTTACATCCACGGTGGTGCTGTGAGCGTCGATTGATAAAAGAGAGACGGAGTCGGAGTATGACTGAATGGAGATGAGAGAAAATCTGTGGATGTGACAAAACTGAAGAAGAATGCAAAATCGATATCGCCCCGGAGGTGAAGCTTTAGAGAAGAAGAATACAACTTCACGAGGAATTAGGAACGTTACAAAACCTTTGAACCCTATCTCCTATTCAAACACTGTGTTCTGATATATTTTCTGATTATTTGGATTTTCTTTCTTTATTTTTATAATGTAAGTGATAACAAAATAATGGTGTGATATTGGACTTATTGTTGGACAAAGGTGTGGATCGAATCATTATCTATCTTGGCCCAAAGGGCAAAATTTTGTTGGTAACTGCTTGATGGGCTTAACGTCTACGCTGGCAGCACACTCCTTGCCTGCTGCTTGCACCCCCTGACCATAATCTTTAGATTTTTCTATATTTCTTTTATTAATTTTTGCTAATAAGAATTAGTGAGTTTTAGGAAATAATCGGAATAATAGAAATAATAAAAATAATAGAAAGAAATCCTGGTATCAGATATGTGATGTCGAAGGAGATGTCACAACACAAATATCTGAGTACAGAGTAAAGTGCATCAATAATAAAAGCAGTAAAAACACAAAGGATTATTAACCCAATTCAGTGTACAATAACACCTACTCTGGGAGCTACCAAGCCATGGACAAGTAAACTAAATAGTATATATTCATAGACCTTCAGTAAACAACCAGTTTATGATCTAATCACTTAATCACTACCTGTGCCATACTTCTACCTAAGACACACCTAGGTATGAGGCCCTCCTCAAGTCCCTTCAATCACTTACAATGAAGAAATAACAAAATTAATAAGTTTTAAATACTTCAATCATTCCATGCTTAAAAGCTTATGAATGATACACAATTAACAACTCAAATAACAACACAATTATCAAATCAATACTAGAGTGTTTGACAATTAAAAGACTTGGACTTCTAAAACAGAAAGAAAGTATTCTTCTTCAAAAGTTGTCATTGAATGAATAAGGAAGCAAGTCCTTATAAAGGCGCAGCAGTGGGCTTGGGCTTAAAAATAAATATTCCAATCTTTTGAATATTTCCATGAAAACAGGCCAAGATATAATCCATTCAAATAAAAAAATATTCCTCCATATTTTTTGCAAGCTATGAGTCTGTATCTTGAATTTTAGCGCGCATGAAAACAGGAAACAGAAAACTTAAACTAATATGTGATGCATTCAGTTCAGGAGGCAGATCTCAAGACATCTGCTTTGACATCATTCAAAACAATTTGCTACAAATATGAATACATTTAGAAAAACATTATCAAAGCAATGTTTTACCAAAATTGCCGCCAACAAACACTCACAAACTCCCCCTTTGGCAAATTTTTGCTAAAACATTATTATCAAAACATTACCAGAGCAGCGGCATAAGCAAGGCAAGCAAAACAAAAATTCAGTTAGCAGTTAGCTGTTAGCAAAGGAAGATGTCATAACATCTTCTGAAACATGAGGCTCCCCCTCAAGTATTAAGCTCCCCCTCAATCAGTGGCCAGTCAATCAGTTTCTCTCCCCCTTTTTAGTCATAATACGCTAAATAGAAGGATGCATTCAAGAGTGTATCAGTAATATAGGTATGAACCATAGAATTCAAAAGTCAAGCACATACAAGTGCCAAAAAGAAACAAGGGGTAAAATGAATAAACAACAAATAGTCTAACTGTCTGCAGGACCAGTAGACTTGGCAGAGTCAGAACTTCCTTCCTCACTAGAATCTTCTCCCTCAGAGCTCACTCTATCATCAAAGTTATTGTCCTTTTGCAGCTCCTTGATCATATTTTCAAAAGTTAGATTCCTTTCTGAACTAACTCTGATCATATCATCTAGTTATTTGCATGCTTCTCTTAATTCAGCGATCATGTCATCCTTGGTAGAGGTCTTGTTTTCAGCAGATGCAGATGTCAAAACAATGTCTGGGATATGTTTTCCTGAAAAGAGCTTGAAGTGAAGGGTCAAAGTAGACTCCCTCTTGCACACTATATCATTACCATTTAGAATTCCAGGATACTAATTAAGAATAATTCCACAGATGAGGGAAGGGAAGGCAATATGTATCTTATAGGCACAATTTCTTGCATGCTTAATAGTCTGATCAAAGATGTAAGTCCCATAATCAAACAGTTTCTTGTTTCTAATAACATAAATAAACTTTCCTAAGCCAATAGTGATGGTTGAAGTATGATTAGTAGGAACCCAATTAGCAGCTCCAATTCTATGCAAAATAGCATATTTCACACTTAGCTTGCTAACAGGAAGTTTGTTCTTCAAGGGCCACTCACTTACTCAATTGGCAGTGATAGCTCTGCACACTTGATTATCTGTTACTTCCAACTCACAAAATTCATCTTCAGACCTATCCAGAAATTTGTTTATGATAGCAGGGGAAAATTCTACAAACCTACCCCAAACATAAACCTACCCCTAACACAAACCTACCCCTGACATAAACCTTTCTATACTCCTCATCTATCAGCAATATGCATCAAAGAGAGTGATATCCCAATGGGTATCTCTCGCGCGTCAGGAGGAACAAAGATGACGATACAATAATGGTTATCCTTTATCTACC